CGAACAGGCATGGCAGGCTCAGACTTCAGCGGAGGACCACCACGCACTGCACCAGGCACAGCATCGCGCGGTAGCTCAGCAGGACTGTTACCCTCCATGCCCACGTCCAGGTGGTGGCGAAGAGCTGCCAGCGGATCCTGCAGAGGCGTTGGAAGGTGGAGCCCATCCCGATTGCTCCAGCAGCCGTTTGAACGTCTGCTCCACCTTCGTGCCAGCAACGCGAGCCCGCTTGGCGCCCTTAACACGGGCCTGCCTGGACATGGGCTTCTCCATGCGCTCGGCCTCCTCATTGGTAAGGGCGTGTTCCAAAGGACTCTTGCGGATGTCGGCAAGTTCACGAGCGATCTCTTCAGGGTCTCCAACTGTAGAACCTGCGTCCGACATGTCCTCATCAATACCTCGAGAAACTTCGTTTTGTAGGTCACGCATGGCCTTCCAATGCTCAAACGATTGACCGTGGGAAGTGCACCGGGCAAGTAGATCAGGATCAGTGGCCTGGGCGAGGTCTGGTGGGGCCATGCCAGCAGTGCCAGCCGTAGCTCCTTCAGGTCTCCCCAAGCCTCCTGGTGCCGTAGCCGCAAAGAGGGGACCCCCTCCAGCAGCACCCACGACAGGGGGTACTCCACCTGGCCCTCCATGAGGAGGAGAGGCAGCCTGTTTCACGCTAACGCTTGATCTCGGCCACCTTGTTGTTCTTCCAGGTCACAGGCACGAACCCCTGAAGCGCAGCATCAGCAGCCTGCCGCGCCGTCTTGGCCTTATTGAGCTCAGCCGAGGCCTCCGGCAAGGACAATTCCGCCTCTTGGAGTTGATTGCGCAACTTGTTGCACTTCTCCTCACGGAAACTGATATCCTGGTGTGCGATCCTCTCAGTACGCGCAGCTGCCTCGAGCTCCTTAGCCAAGCGGGTACGCTCCTCACGCGCACCAGCATCGAGTTGTTGTTGGCTCCATTCTGCAGGAAGGGATGGAGCGGGTGCAGCCATTGGCTCAAGATGGACCCGTAGCTCAGGACGGGCACGTAATAGAAGGTTGGCGGCATTCCGAAGTTCCTCATCATCAGCTGGTGCGTCAGGCTCATCGTAGTCCATCGCGCATTTGTCAATCTTGGGATCCACTCCATAGTAGGCACCGCCACACTTGGAGCAGCAGGGATGTCCTCGATGTTTGTACTCCCAGTGGTAGCATTTGCTGCAAACGTTGTACCCACTGGAGGGACGAGTGCCATCTCGCCCACGGCGGCCACGGCCGCCGCGCGTTCCCCAGCCGCCGACATGCTGCCAGGAAAGTCTCCATGGAGAGTAAGTGAAGCCATGATCAGCACCAGCATCAGCATCTTTGTTGCGCCATGGTGCGCCGCGGGCCATGGCACAGATGCAGAGGAAGGGATGTACAGTGATAGCAGAGAAAAGAGATGCCAGGTCTCAAGCGACCTTGCCAGCCGCGGTGACAGCGGCGTCCGTTCAGGCACGGAGGCGCGGAGCCCCCAAAATGCAAACATCTTGAGCCAAAATGGCTACGGGAAGAAAAATAAAAGAAAGAAGAGAAGTTGGAGGAGGATGTAGAGGAGGAGGAGGAGGAGGAGAAAGAGGAGGAGGAGGAGGTGGTGGAGGAGGAGGAAGCGGAGGAGGAGGAGGAGGCGGAGGAGGATGAGGAACGGAGGAGGAGGAGGTGGAGGAGAGGAGGAGGTGGAGGAGGAGGAGGAGGAGGAAACGAGGAGGAGCGAGCAGGAGCGAGCAGGAGGAGGACGAGGAGGAGGACGAGGAGGAGGAGGAGCAGGAGGAGGAGGAGGAGGAGGAGGAGGAGGAGTGAGGAGGAGAATCGAGGAGGAGGAGAAGGAGGAGGAGGAGGAGGAAGCCCTTTGGCTAGAGCTCCTGCCCACATTTACAGGCTCTCTCGCCCGCACCCCTCTCGAAGCAGTGCCGGACGGGGAGAGGATGCCCGTCGCATGGAGTGGCAGGCCAGCCGTCTACGTCAGGAGGGGGAAGTCCTTGTTCGGCCGCACGCCGGGGGGGAAGTCCGAGGGGGCGGGTCTTCTCGGATCGATCGACTGCGCGTAAGAGTGACCCTTCGCCGGAGCGACCGTTGGTGCGGTCTCCCGATCGCCGACTGCGATGCGATAGTAGCGTCTTGCGCGCTTGGGGTTGGCCCCCCCCCCGCGGCCCCTCGAAAGCCTCGGACCAGAGGTCACTCTTGCCCAGGGTCGCTCGTGCGTGTAGCCGAGCAGAAGGCTTGGCAGTCGTCCCGCCTTCTGAGAAGTGTTCCAAGCCGTCCCCGAAGACGCAGTGAACTTCTCCAAGGGACAGGAGGCTTCTGAGAAGCCCCGCCGCCATCCGCGAGAAGGCCGTCTCCTTCGCCCCAGACATCCGACCGCTCGAGTTTTTTCGATGCGTGGGCCCTGGAGGCCTTGAACACTTCCCTGGGGCGGGTTTTTCGTCCTGGGTCGCGTTTAAACGGTCCCGAGGCCCGGCGAGGGCCCTCGGAGGCCGAAAACGGCTATAGACCAGCCGCTCCGTTTCTGTTCGGAGCGTCGGATCTTTGGGTCACTTCCTGTCCTGCGCCTCCTCCTCCTCCCCCTCCTCTCCTCCCCCTCGGTTCTCCTCATCGTTTCACCGCTCGCAGTGGTCTCTCGTACGCATGGGCCCGTCCACCTTGCAGTGCGGCGGCCGTCATGCCATCCTTCGTCCCACGCTGTAGCGCAGCTTCGCTGTCGTGTTTTAGAGTGTCGATCGTGGTGCGTTCTGCGGTAGTAAAGCAAAAACCTCGCTCGCCGCCGACCTGAGGTCCGGGCGCCCGATTGTTTGTCGATCCGTGCGCCTCTGCCGGGTTTCGGGCTGCGGGGCCCTCGCGGGTCGGTGCGGCCTGGCAGATGTGCAGCAGGCCGCCAGCTTCGAAGGGTCTGGTGGTGACTTTCTCTCGATGCTGCGAATCTTGCGGCGTCGGGTTTCAGGAAGCGGAGGAGGAGAAGAGGGTGGAGGAGGAGGAGGAGGAGGAGGAGGAGGAGGAGGAGGAGGAGGAGGAGAGAGGAGGAAGGAGGAGGAGGAGAGGAGGGAGAGGAGGAGGAGGAGGAGAGAGGGGGGAGGAGGAGGAGGAGGGAGGAGGAGGAGGAGGAGGAGGAGGAGGAGGAGGGAGGAGAGGAGGGGAGGGGAAGAGAAGGAGGGGAGGGAGAGGAGGAGGAGGAGGAGGAGAGGAGGAGGAGAGGAGGAGGAGGGAGGAGGAGGAGGAGGAGGAGGAAGGGAAGAGAAGGGGGTGGAGGAAGAGGAGGAGGAGGAGGAGGAGGAGGAGGAGGAGGAGGAGGAGGTGGAGAAGAGAAGAGAAGGAGGAGGGGAAGAGAAGTCGGCCAGTCGAGTGCCATCTGGACGGAGGGAGGGTGGGTCCTGCGCGGGCGAAGACCGAGGAGGCGCGAGGTCCGGCCTACCATCGCATCGCGTCGCGATTCCTGCAGTTTGCGGCGCCTTTGCACGCCTCTGGACAATTCGGCCCGCGATGTGGTCTTCAACTCGGGCTGAAGCTTCCGGGCCTTGCTGTTAGGTTTCTGGTGCTCCAGGGGCCTCCTGAGGCCTCCGGAGCAGGAGCTGGACCTGCGGCGGGCCCTGAGGGAAGAGAGGGAGGGAGAACTCCCAAGTTGGATCTGGTGCTGATGATGATGATTCTGATGATGATGAGGAGGATGAGGATGAGGATGAGGATGAGGATGAGGATGAGGATGAGGATGATGGTGATGAGCATGATGATGGTGATGATGATGGTGATGGTGATGGTGATGAGAATGATGATAAGGGTACTGGCAATAGTGATGGTGAGGATGATGCTGGCGATGCTGATGATCATGATGATGATGGTGGTGGTGGTGGTGGCAGTGATGATGATGATGTGATGATGATGTGATGATGGTGGTGATGGGGGTAACGATGATGATGATGATCGTTATGACGATGAGGCTGATGATAATGCTGATGATGATGGTGGTGATGATGATCCTGATGACGATCATTGCGATGATGATGATGATGCTGATGATGATGATGATGATGATGATGTTGCTGATGACGTTGATGGTGATGTTAAGGGTGGTGGTGGTGATGATGCTGACTACGTTGTTGCTGATGATAATGATGATGAGGATGAGGATAAGGATGAGGTGAGGAGGAGGATGAGGATGAGGGTGAGGGTGTAGTTGTTGATGATGATGTTGATGACGATGATGATGCTGCTGCTGATGATGATGAGGATGAGGATGAGGATGAGGATGAGGATGATGATGATGATGATGATGATGATGATGAGGATGAGGATGATGATGATGGTGATGATGATGATGATGATGATGATGATGATGATGACGATGATGGTGGTGGTGGTGGTTATCATGACGATGACTAGGAGGAAGAGGAGGAGCAGTATGATGATGATGAGGAGGAGGAGGAAGACGAGAGAGGACAAGCGAGGGCGGCAGAGAACGAGGGAGGAGAAGGGACGACGAGGGGTGAAGAAGAACAAGAGGATGAGGAGGGAGAGGAGGAGGAGGAGGAGGAGGAGGAGGAGGACGCGGAAGGATGATGATAATGATGATGATGATGATGATGATGATGATGATGATGATGATGATGATGATGATGATGATGATGATGATGATGATGATGATGATGAGGAGGAGGAGGAGGAGGAGGAGGAGGAGGAGGAGGAGGAGGAGGAAGAGGCGGAGAAGGAGGGAGGAGGAGCAGGCGGAGGAAGAGAAGGAGCGGGAGGTGAGACATTAGGAAGCCAGGTGGCTAAGTGTGCGGCGCATCCTCGCCTCCTCCCCCCCTCGAGCCCCCCCCCTCGGGGCTCGAGCTGGGGGCATGCATGGTCCCTTGTGTCTGCTTGTCCTTGCTCCCCACCTCCCCAGGTTCGTCTCCTCGGGCCCCCTGCGCGCCCGAGACACCTGACCTCCCTGTGCCTCCTCCCAACCGCGAGGAAAGGCCAGGAGGAAGAGGAAGGACCCCCGAAGCCTCCCGAAAGGTCGTCATAGCCTACCTCGAGCGGCACTCCGCCGGACCTGGCGAGCCCGTGCGGATCTCGGACGTGACCGTGGACCCGGTGATCTCGGCGGCACGAGCCCGGCTGCTGCCGCAGGAGGTGGCCCTCGCCAGCGACGTCGCCAGCGCCGTCGCCGTCGCCGTCGTCGTCGCGCCTCGTCGCCGCCACGGTCGCTGTTGCCGCCGTGGTCGAGGCCGTCGCCGTCCCCGTCACGGTCGCCGCCGGGGTCGCGGTCGCCATCGCCGTCGCCGTCGCCGCCGCGTCATCGTCTTCGTCCCCCCTTCTCCCCTGTCGCCCTCCTCGTCCTGCCTATGCTTTCTTCTCCCTCCCTGTGCTCCTCCTCGTTCTACTCATCTTTCCCCCTCCTCCTGCTCCTCGTTCTCCTCGTTCTCCTCCTCCTCCTCCTCCTCCTCCTCCTCCTCCTCCTCCTCCTCCTCCTCCTCCTCCTCTCGCCCCTTTCTGTCCTCCTTCCGCCGGCTCTCTCCAGGTACCCCTGCGAGCCTGGCTGGACCAGCGCATCGGAGGCGAGGTGGAGATCAGCAGCGACCCCAAGACGGGGATCTGGCAGGCCAGATCCTGGGGTGTGCGACAAGATTGATGTGGAGATCGGGGCAGGCTGAGAGGGAGGGGAGGCAGGAGGATGACGAGGAGCCCCCCCCCCCACGGAGAAGACATGATGGTGAGGAGCAGTGGTGAGGCATGTAACCTCCCAAGGTCTGTGCTGTTGCTACCCCCCTGTTTCTCTCGGCGGGGAAATACCTCCGCCCCTGCTCCTCCTCCTCTCCTCCTCCTCCTCCTCCTGCTCCTGCTCCGCCTCCTCCTCGTCCTCTTCGTCCTCCTCCTGCTCCTCCTCGTGGTCGTTATCGTAGTCGTCGTCGTCGTCGCCGTCGATCATTTTCCCTCTATTGTTTGGGCGGGCTGGATAATGCTCGGGGTTCTTTCGCCCAGGGAATCGTGCTCCCTGGCTACCCTGCACGACAGAGAAATTTTGAGCACGTCTGCCAGAGCATTGCAGTATAGATCGACACTTTCTTCGCCGAAGGCGTTGCTCACAATATCCTTCTTCATCTCGTCGTCGGTGTCGCTGTTGTGCGGCGGGTGCCGTGGAGAATATTTATTCCCACTATTGGTGGAGCCCCAGTCCGTCAACAAGGGCGTCAGAAAGATCATTCGCTTTCCCTCTCCATGAGGGTTCCCCAAGACCTTTTTAGAAGTTTGTTAGATTGATCTGGAGATTGGGATGGTCAGGTCAAGGAGGCTGAGGAGATCTGGTGCTCACAGCACGGCGGCTTAGTTCGGAACCGTTGGGGTGGAAATAGTGTATGTGTGCGGCGTCCACATGTCCAGACAAGTAAGGAAACCAACGGAAACAGACACCGAAACATGCACACGAACACTTTAGTGAGAGAGTTATACAAGCAAGCGCTCGTCCGACTGCGGACAGAAGCGCCTGTATACCCAGTAGGCCAGCCTGTAGCCAACCAAGGGTGCTGGTACGGGAGCGATGCCGGGCATCAATCGAGACACTACCGCAACACAACGGGGGGCCCATTGCAAGTCAACCGGTCAACCTTTGATTACATTTTGCACAATTGCACATTAAGAGGGACACCATCGGGACACCACCGCACACATCCATCCGCGGCTCACCGTAAAACCATCGGACGCCATCGTGCATCGATTGGACGCAGCCGGGACACCCTCGGGGCATAGCCGCAGTTCAGTAGGGACGCCGCCGCGAATCAAACGGGACACCGTCGGGACATCATAGTGTCAGTCAAGCCCGGCGCCCATACAGCGCAGTGGCGAATGAACAGTTTGTCAAGATTCGTGGCGCCACTCTGCGGAGGGATGGCGTGAACAGACTGGGGGAGGATCAGAAGGTTGAGGGGAGGGAGAGCAGAAAAGCCATACCACGAGCCAAGGTCCTGGAGGAAGCTCAACCACGCCAGGGGTCCCGAAGCTGTGTGGGCCTCGCCCTGCGTCGTAGGGACACCGCTATAGCAGCCAGCCCGGGAGGGTCCGACCACCGAGACACAAGCTGGCCACATCGTGCTCCGCCGGCGCCCGGCCCAGATCGCTCTCTCGCGGACCGGCTTTGCTCTTTCAGAAGGGGGGGAGGTGTTGTCACCACCCACCAAACCGCCCCAACCCAACCCGAAGGCTCAGATTTACTCTCGATTTCCAGGGGGGGGGGGTCGGGAAACATCGAAAAAATACCTGTGGAACCCTTACCCCCCCCCAACCCGAAATTCGGGTCTTCGGGTTGGGTTGGGGTGGCCTGGTAGGTAGTCAGTTATGCAGAGCCCGAGGCCCCGCCACTCTTCGGCCGTGCGCCGTGCGGCCGGAGAGTCACCCCTCGCCGTGCCCGGACCCCCCTCGGTGCGCGAGAGAATCGAGCCGGAAGGTGTGGTCCTTTGTTTTCGGCCTGTGGGGGCCCGCGCCAGGCCTGCAGGACCGTCAAAGAACAGCCAAGGATGAAGCAAAGCGGTCCTGAAGGCATGGGTCCAGACCTCTGGGGGTCGCCGTGGTGCGAAGATCACGACGTCGGGGGTCTTGACTCTAGCTGTGCGTAAGTCGGGTTGACCCAAAAGGGGGTCCAGCGACAAGGGGGTGCTGCGATAGATTTGGTGCAATAGATTGCTGGGCTTGCAATACATTTGGGGTGTGCAGTACATTCCGGGGCGCAACTGTACTGCTGGATTTTCGCGTGCACACGATTTGCAATACAATGCGACATTTTTGACTTACATTTTTTACCATCCTCGGAGCGCCTTGTGGCAAGGGGGGAGGAGAAGGAGGGGGAGGGGGAGGGAGGGGGAGGGGGGAGCGCGCAACTAACTAGTCCGGCGCCCCCGGGCGCGACGCGAGCCGCAGCCGCAGCGCCTCGCGCCACGCGGCTTCCGCTCCGCCCGCCCGGGCCGGCGGCGCCAGCAGCAGGGCGGCGGCGCGCGGCGGCAGCGCCGGGGTCCAGCCGCAACGCAGGCAGGCCACCCAGGCGGGCCACCCAGGCGGGCCCCTGGGACGCCACGTGGGCCCGCCACGCGTTGCCAGCGAAGAGGGCCCTGGCGGCGGCTGCCCCTGCCGCCGCCGCAGGGCGCCGGGCAGGCTGCGGAGCCCGCGCGCGGGCGGCCGCGGCGGCCGCCACTGCCGCGTCGTCGCGCACGCAGGGCGCGCGCCGCCTGCGCCCTGGGGCCGTCCAGCGCCGGCGCACGCGGGGCCGGCTGGCGCCGTCGCCGTGGTTGGCTTTCAGCGCTGCCAACTCCACGGCTGCCATGACCCGCTGCACGGCAGCGAGCGCGTTCAGCCCCCGCTCGCGCTCCAGGAGCAGCGCGCGAGCCGGCAAGCGGACCCCCGCCGCGTGGCCGGCCAGGCGGTCCGCGGCCGCGTTGCCGGCATGGTCCTCCGGGGAGACCCCCCGTTCGCGGGCCGCGGCAGCGTCCAAGTGCGCCTTCAACCACCGTGCGCGCAGGTCGCCGCTGCGGCAGTGTGGGGCAACGCATTCCCACAGATCCGCGCGCGCCCACTCCGCAGGGTTAGCCCCGCCGCGGATGGCCGCCACGCCGCGGCTGATGAACCGGGAGTCGGTCAGCCCCCCAGCCAGGCTCAGCGCGCGCACCGCCGCAGTGAGTTCCGCCCGTTGGGCGGTCTGCCCGCCGTCCACCGGCCCGCTGTGCTCGACGAAGCCCGTCGCGCCCGCCGCCTCTAGCTGGACTCCCCAGCCCGCTCTCGCGAGCAGCGGGTCGCCTGGGCGCACGCAGGCCCCGTCCGTCCAGGCGCGCGCCCTGCCGCCGGCCGGCAGTCTCTGCGGGTCGGGCAGAATTGACAGCGGCAGCGTCAGCCGGGCCTGCTCCGCGAGCGCCGCCAGCCGCAAGTCCTGAGGCAGCACTCTCGTGAGGGAGGCCTCAGGCGGCAGCCTCGCGCGGACCTCGTCCCGGCGCCCGCTCGCGAGCCTCAGGGCGGCGGCCCGGGTGGGCTCCCAGCGCCGGAGGACCTGGAGCACCGCCACAGGCGGTGCTCCAGGTCCTCCGGCGCCGCGCGGCAGTGGGGGCACAGCGCCGCGGACCCCACTTCGCGGCCACTGTCTCGGTCACCACGTTCCCTGAGAGCACGGCGCGGAGCGCCCCTGCTGCATCGGGCGCGAGCGCTCCGCTGACCAGCAGCCGCCGCGTGGCCCATCTGTCTATACCGCCCGCAACGTGCTGGAAGGCCGCGCGCCTCCCCGCCAGCGAGCGCGCTTCGCGCTTGGACCACGCTTCGAGCAGCACTGCGCGGGTGTCGAAGCAGACTCCGGTCGGCGGGGCGCCAGCTCCCGAGGGCGGCGCTTACCCCGGTCCAGCACTCGACGTCCACGCCCAGGTGCAGCTCCGCCAAGCTCCGGAGGGCGGCGGAGATGGGCCCGAACCCGCGCCCGTGGCCTGCGCCGAGGGCCGCCGCGGCGTCCCGCCACACCTGCACGGGGAGACGGCGGGATCGAAGCGCCCTGGCGGCCTGCCAGAGCGGTGCCAACGACCGCCGCCGGGTCCAGCCGCCAGCTCGGCGCCAGCACCCCGAAAACGACCTCAGCGGCCGCCCGCATGCCACCGCGGCACATCGCTTGTCGCGCCGCCGTGCGGAGGCCAGCCAACTCCCGCGCCGGGGGACGGCCGCAAGCCGCGCCGTACAGGCCAGCCGCCGTCCCTGCGACAGCGCCCAGCCGGCAACGCGCGTCCAAGCCGACCGGCAGCTTGCCCAGCCTGCCGAAACGGCCCCGCGCGACACGCAGCCGCTCCGCGGTGGCAGCGCACCGACGGGCCTTCCAGCAGCGGTGGCGGCCACGCCCAAGTCGCGGAACTCCGTGCTCGCGGAGATCCCGGGCGTCTGGTCCGCCAGCCAACGCCAGAACACCGCGCGAGTAGCAAACTGGCGCGACCTCGTCCGATTTAGCCTCCAATCCATGGCCGCCTCGAAGGCCTCCGTGACCTGCAGCGTCTGCCAGAGCTCGTCTGCTGCGTCGCCGCCGGCCTCGGCCACGACCCGGGCCCAGAGCGTGAAGCGTGAAGCAACACAATGCGACACAATTCTCCGGAGCAGTGCATTTGCAATCTACTTGCCCCGCATCTGTGGCACCACCCCCTTTTCAGCTGGACCCCCTTCTGGGCGTGCCTGATGCCTCTCTGGCTGTGCGTGAGTCAGAGCGTGAATTACCTGCCCCGCTTTCGCTTCCAGGCAAAACCAAGTCATACCACGCGCCTCCTCGTCAAGCGGCCTGACCAGTACAGACCCGTAGAGTTTGGCATCGCATGGTATCTCTTGGAAGCGAGGGCGGTCAAGAGCGAGGTAGGTTTGTTTGCCCCCTAGTGAGAGTGGCCCCTCACCGAGCTATGGCACCACCCCCTTTCAGCTGGACCCCCTTCTGGGCGCTCCTGGTGCCTCTCTGGCTGTGCGTGAGAGTGGCCCCTCACCGCGCTGACCTTCCTTGCTCGGCTCTCCGTGGCGCGGGCGGGGAAGAGGGGGGGGGACCTAGGGCGCGCGGGCCGCTGCTGCCGCAGCGCACGCCACGACCGGGAAGCCTCGCAGCAGAGTTGGGTCGGGCATGTGTCCCCCCCCCCTGCAGGCGAATTTTGGACGAAAAACAGAAAAGATTCCAACAAAGATTCAGAAATAGGCAAACAATGCTCACAACATCGTCCCCAGAAACTTTTTGTTCGATGTTTTTGAATTTTCCTCCTGTAGAGGGACTGGCCCGACTTAACACCAGAGGTCACTTTTGCCCAGGGTCACTGTGGCGTGCAGCTGCTTTCTGCAACAGTTCTCCGCGGGATCGGGCAGGGTCCCAGGGCGCGTCACCGGCGAAAGCACCTGGCGGGGAAAAGTGCGACGCCCGGGTCCCGTGTCCCTCCACATCTCCATCCTCCTCCTCCTCGCGCATGCGCGTGGGCGCGCCGATTCGGCGCTGCGGATGCGAGCCGCGCATCACCGCGATGATCTCTGAGGGAGCCTCGCTAATTATCTTGGTTGATGGCTGGTTCTCCCTGACCTGCGTCCCCCCTCTTCCTCGATACAGTCGGGGCCCTGAAGAAGGAACCCTTTTCGCTGGGGAGGGGCTCCGCGTTCCTAAAGTGTTTCGCAGCTTGCCTTAGGTTTTCCTTAGGTTTCCGACAGGAAATCGAAGGTTAACTTATAAAAAAAGGGGCCTCGTTCCTTATTTAGGGTTCCTTAGGTCAACGCCCCGACTGTAGCCATTTTGGTTCAAGCCGCTCCGGTTGGAGTGCTTCACTTCCGCCCTCGCGTCCCGTCCGCCCGCCTCCTCGGGGGGCCCCGGTGGGCGACCCGATGGGGAAGGTCGTCAAGCGCAAGGCGATCGGCGCGATCGGCAGGGGAAGGACGGTGAAGCAGCTGATCGAGAAGCGCAGGTCGCAGACCATCACCACCCACCAAACCACCCCAACCCAACCCGAAGGCTCAGATTTACCCTCGATTTCCAGTGGGGGGGGGGGTCAGGAAACATAGAAAAACACATGTGGAACCCTTACCCCCCCCAAGCCGAAATTCGGGTCTTCGGGTTGGGTTGGGGTGGTCTGGTAGGTAGTCAGACCAGCACTCCGCAGAAGGCTCCTATGGGCACCAGCACCATGCCCGGCCAGAGGGCCCTCCGGGGCCCCAGGACTGTGCGCAGACCCTCCCGGCCTCGGCCAGAAGGCCGCAGCTGTACGCCCTGCCAGGGCCTCGGCTCATGATGTCCCAGCCTGCTTCAGCCTTCACCGCCCCAGAAAGGCTTTCGAGCACCAAGGATAGTCCCGAGACTTGAGGGTTTTCACGTGTCGGGCCTGGGAGGCGATACTCGCTCGACGCCATTTCGATACTTTTCCGGGGGCGCTCGAAATGATTTCTGGGACGTGGCCCTTGAAAAGTGCGATGGGGGGGCGACATTCGCCTAATCAGGCAGGGTGGTGGTGGTCGTGGGCGCCTCCTGTGCGAAAGCACTGCGCAAGCCTGGACAGCCGGAGGTCCGTGCGGACATCTTGGGGTCGGCGCTCCCCCCCACACGCCCAGGCGGCGCCTTCGGCGGCGCCTCCGGCACGCTCCGCGCTCGGGGCACCCCGCGCTGCGCCCCCCCTGGCGGCGCCTCCTCCGGCGCCGCCCCTGGAGCGCTCCGCGCGCCCGGAGGGGAGTCCAGCGCAGATCCCAGGCATTCGCGCGGAGCGCCAGACGTTTACGTTTATGCCGCTTTTTTTGTTCCTTCTTCTTCTTCTTCTATGGGAGTGGGCGCGGGGAGGCGGGCCACCACCGACTCAAAAACTCCGCGCGGACCTTCGGCATTTGATGCTTCTGCGTCGGTGTTCCCGCAGGGGGAGAGTGCAGGCCGAGAAGCACGTGCAGCAGAGGAACGAGAGGGGCGCTGGGATGAAGTTCAAGCTCGAGACCTTCGCCACGATCGCCAGCTTCAGCCCGGGCACACGGATCAAGTACGTGCCCAACCCGAAGACCCCAGGCTCCAAGTCGCACGCGCGCTACCAACGCTATATGAAGGCGAAGACCGTGGGCGAGTCGATGAAGCTGGGATCGAAGAAGGCGGACTTCTTCTGGGAGCTTGAGAGGGGTTACTACAAGGTCGTGGGGAGTGCCCGCTCGGAGGCGCAGGAGGTGGCGGCCATCGGCAGGCAGGCTTACGACAAGACCGTGGCAGCGCTTGCTTCCTTTGTGGGGCCCAGGGGGCTCCCCATGAAGAACTTCGACGACCCGAAGGCGGCGGAGGAGCTCAAGCAGGAGGAGGAGTGGCGCGAAAGGAAGTTGAAGAGGCCAGAAGACCATACAACGACACATGTATCTGCAGAAAGTCAACCCGCATAGTAAGGAACAATTTTCGAAGGTTGCCCGTGCATCCTTCCCCTTCGGCTCATCCTTGGCCGCTTTCGCTGGCCGCGCCCCGCCCGCAAAACGCCGATATGGCCTTCCAAGGCCCTTGCATCCTTACCGTGCGTCCTTCTTCTAGAGGTTGACTGCAAGCTCTCTGAGATCCGCTCGGGTCGGTGACATACACCCTCCCCCGCCACACAGCGCGCGGGGGAGGGCAGCCACAGGAGGTCCTGCGTCGACCTTGGAACATGTACGCGGAATTTCGAGAGCTTGGGTTTATGCATGCACTGTTCGGGAGGGGAACAAAGACAGACACAATCAATGTCGATTCCCAGGAAGATATGGGCAAATATGGGAAGTGGGGGGAAGACGAAAACCCAGAAAACATTGAAGCATGTGGGGAATCCTGGGATGTGTGTCTCTTTATTTGTATGTCCCAGGGCCCCTTCAGCTGTTGCCTGGTGTTCTCTAGGTGCGAGGCGCTCGCGGAGCAGATGGGCCTGAGGGTCGAGACCACGGAGGAGATCGAGGCCTTCGGCGAGAGCAGGGAGATCCGGCTGCAGCGCCGCGTCACCAGCGCCCTGTGCGAGCGGAAGCTCAAGGAGGCCGACCGGGCGGGCAAGAAGATCACCGACGCGGACCTGTCCGAGGTGCTCCACTGCTGGGGCTTCAACGAGAACTCGAACCGGCTGAACGTTCTGCCGACGGGCCGTAAGTACGTCTACTCCGACACGGTGGGGGCCATCCGGCGCCGCACGGGCGTGTTCGGCGTGACGCCGAGCACGAGGAAGTACCCAGAGTTCGTGAAGCTGCTGTGCAGGTGGCTGGCTGACAACGTGCCGAGCAAGAAGTACAAGTTCCTGTGCACGGCGATCAACCTCAACGCCAACTACGCAGGTCGCCGCCACAGGGACGCCAACAACGAGGGGCCTTCTGTCATCAGGGCATTTGGCAAGTTCAAGGGCGGAAGGCTGCACTACTGGCCGAAGGACACCGTGAAGCCGAAGCCGCAGGTGGAGACGCTGAGGCGGGAGGACTCCGTCACGTACGACGTCGCGAAGAGCACGCTCGTGTTCGATGGCAACCGTGCCCACGAGGTGGAGCCCTTCAAGGGTGAACGCTACAGCGTGGTCTTCTTCACTGCGGGAGGCTACCGCAAGTCGACGGCGGCCACCACGAACTTCCTCAAGAAGGTCGGCTTCCCCTGGCCAACGCCCGGGACTCTCGCGGAGCTCAAGCGCGCCGCCACGGGCCAGTGAGCGGCGGAGAGCGGACGCGGGGAGGCCACGTGACGGCACCAGCACCACCAGCCGGCGACCTGCCGGGAGTGCCACGACATGCCCCCCCGAGCCGGAGAGTTCGAGCAGTGGCGAAGCGTCCTGGCTCCCTATAGCCCCACCTAACAATGTTCAATGTTCTAAGAACCTTTTGTGGTTCCCACGAACTGTTCTCAGAACATGTCTGGCGGAGTCCGTCCTGTTTCAACACATCGGGAGTATGTTCTAAGAACATTGTTTTTGTTCTTCGAACATTTTTGGGCTCCAAGAACATTTCGTGGTATGACTATAGGAATGCCGGGACGGTCGGTCCCTGCTCAAAGAGTGGAGGTGTCTCGAGCGGGGCGCTGAAACACTGGAGGGCCGCACCTCCAGTGGGTGATCGTTTTCCTATGCATCGCTTTGCCGATCGGCGCGGCCCAGGGAGTGGATTCCGGCTGTTTCTGGCGCCTGCTTCGAGCGGGTGGAGTCTCCCCCGTGGGGCGCACTGCTGCAAGCAGTCGCGCGAAGCAGAGGTCCGGAGCCAGATCCCCTCCCCCCCTCCCCCCCACCTTCCGCCCCAGGCCGAACCGCCGTATAAGGAGACGCTCCCCAGGAGGTACTCCAGATTTCGTAATAAAGGGAGGGGGGTCTCATTTCGGGGGGGGTCTCATCCAGGCTATCTTGGAGGGCCTGGGGGGTCTGGGGACGATGTTTTGGAGGGTTCTCCCACGGGGGAGGTCTGAAATGGCTTGTCTTGGAGGGTCCAGACCCCCTCCCTTTTATTACGAAATCTGGAGTACCCTCCCTGGCTCCTCGCGACGGTGGTGGCGGTGCCGGCTCTCTCTCTCTCTCTTTGCTCCCGGGGCGGGGCAGCGGACGCTCGGCTCGCGAGCGGGGGCCGCGGGCGCGCTCTCCGCGCCCGCGGCGACGCGGGCCGAGCCTGTGAGGGCACAGACCGCAACGGGGCGGCCATGTTCCAGAAAGGCGCCCCCCAGACCGGCTTGGCTCACCACGATGCTCCAGAAAGGCGCCCCCCAGACGTCCAACGGCTTGGCTCACCACGATGTGCCAACTTACTCGGGCCTCGACCACCAGAGAGAGTTTCTCGCGCACCAAGGAAGCAGCGAGGCTTGGGGGTTGTCACGTGTCGGGCCCTGGGAGGCGATACTCGTTCGACACCGTTTCGATTCTTCAGGGTCCTCGAAATGATTTCTGGGATGTGGTCCATACGTAGTTAGTAACTAGTTAGTAACGTAAGCCCTGGCGAGCACCCAGACGGAGCCTTCTCTCCTGCAGCTTCGTGCCCCTGTAGGCCGTGCTCGGGCCCCGGGGCCGTCCACGTCGACCCGGGCTGAAAAGCCGGCCCCAACGGAGGGTGCCCGCACCTCCGGGGACCCCGCCGTTCAACGATCAGAGCATCGGGTGCCGGAGTCGCCACCGACCCAGTCGGGCGGGTTGACTTCTCGTCTTCGGCGGAAGGCTGGCGCGCCGCCTGGCGAAAGGAAAGCAAGGTTGGCGTTGCTGGCAGAACGGTTGCTGAAGGCGGCACGTTATACGTTGCATTTTTGGGTCGGCGTCGCCTGCCCCAAGGACGGGTGTCTTGTCTCCTGCCCGACCGCGGGCGCGGTGCGGACTCGGCGCGGATGGGGCGTGGACTCGACACGGGTCCGGCGTGGCTTCGACGCGGATGCGCGGAGCCCGACACGGACCCGACGCGGACTCAGCGCGGACAGGGGCGTTGCTCGCGAGTTCTGATCGATTGTATGACATCCAGGTTCGCCAGCAGCCCACGCTATTCTGCAAACCATACGGAGCACCAGAAAGGACTTGGCGAGCAACTGCTTCCACCAGTTCTTTCGATAGCCACATCTTGCTCCTAGGGAGCTGAAGAGTGTACAGTCAACCCGCATAGCAAGGACGGGCAACCTTCCCAAGGGTACCCTTGCATCCTTGCCTCCTCGGTGCATCCTTGGCCACTTTCGTTGGCCGCGCCCCGCTCGGGAAGCTTCGAAATGGTTTCCCGAGGGCCTTGCACCCTTGTCGCGCATCCTTACTCCACGGGTTGACTGTACCGAGAGGAGCGTCGCAACTTCAAGCGGGCCCCCCCGAGGGTGCAGCGCGAGGCACGGGCGCGGCTCGAGGCTCCCGTGCCGCCCTCCCGCTGGCCTTGAGGCCGCTGCGCGTGCCCCCTCTCCGTGGCCCCGGGCTGGCCGGGCGCGGGCACCCGCCTCTTGCAAGCCCGGGAGCTGCCGGGCCAGGCTCGGCGTCGGCGTGCGGCCCGGCGCCCTCCTGTCACGCAGGTTTTTTTTTGGGGGGGGTGTTTTTGTTTTAACTTTGTATATATATATATATATATATTATATATATATATTTATATATATATATCTATCTATATATATATACACATATAAAAAAAGGAAACACAAGAAATAACGCCAAAAACGCCCAGAACATGAGCGTTCGGAGCTCCGCGCGGATGCCTCGGTGCGGCGCTGCGGCCCCCCCGGGGGCGGCGCCGCCGGCTCCGCGGCTCCGCCCCTTGGCGCCGTGGAGGGGGGGCCCAGTGCGGATCCCAGCAATCCGCGCGGAGCTGCGAACGTTTATGTTTATGGCGTTTTTGTTCCTCCAAGGGGACGGGGGGGGGGCACGTGAAAATATGGCAACGGCTGCGCGGTCGTGCTCCTCACGGGTTCCTCCCCTTTCCTGCTCCCGATTACCTTGCTCCTCCTTCTTGGCGCAGGGCCATGCGCACCACGGTCCCGCCCTTTGCAACACTCCTTGGCTTGTGCGGCTGTGTAAATTGTGCGCAGCGATGGCCAAGCAGCAGCAGGATGGGGGAAAACTCCGATCGTGGCGTTGCAGATCTTGTTTTTGGCCCCCGACAGGGAAACGTGTCTTCAACAAGCCGACGCGGGACAGTTGCTTCAAGTGTCGTCGCAGCCTAGGTACCTGCTTCCACAATCCTGCTCCACATGCCGAGCCGTCTAAGCATGACACATCGTCTCGAGGCGGTGCTAAGGCAGGTGGCGAGCTCAAGCGTTGGGTTCCCGCTGGTCAGCTCAAGGAAACCCAACTTCAGATCAAGAAGTTGCAAGAGGCTGCTGCTCACAAGTCGTGTGGTGCCGGGGCAGAGGATGGCGTTTGATGTGGGCATGGCATCTGATGCGTCATCGCTTGATGAAGGCAAATTTGGAGCACGTATTCATGACTTCGTCAAGCAGCTGGAGCTGGCAGGCAAGGCCTCAGGTGTGCAATGGTCACGTTTTCGTCGGTCTCCCAGACCAGAGAAGGAGGTCATACATGCGCGTATCAGTCAGCATAAGCATGTATCAGCCCAGATGTTTGCGGTCTGTCGACAGATGCCTACCGAGTCTCAGAAATTTGAGGACCTCAAGCACGCCATGGAGGTGCAGCGCGCGCACACTCGTAAATTGCAGGTGAATATGGAGATCTCGATCAAAGAACTGGCCGACAAGGAGCAGCACCATGAGGAACTACGACAGAAGCAGGTCGATTTGGCGAAGGCAGCGGTCCATCCTCCTCAGCAGGAGAATGCTCAGGACGGTTGAATTGCTATTGGCGCGCTTGGCTTCGTGTCTATTCGATTGGGGACGATTATCAAGCAACTTGGTGCTGGCGAGGCTGCACTGCAGATGGCTGAACAGATCGCCGAAGGGCTGCCGACAATCATCGCCAATACGCAGATCCAGGTTCGGAGCTCGAATCGATCTGGCGTGGAGACGGACGGGCGCCAACCGCCTCCGCATGAGCATCAGGCACCTTCGCCAGGTACTCCTGCAGCTGCACCTGAGCTGGAGAAGGCTGCTCCTTCTACTCCAGCACTGGCTTCTGCGCGTGATGCGGACATCGAAAAGCTGCGTGAATTACTTTTACTGGCAGGCGTCGCTCATGAGGATGACGCCAGTGACGACGATATACGGCAGGCTGCGAATCGACTGCTTGCTTGGCGCGCGGGGGCGAAGGGCGCATTCAGCCCCTCGTTCGGGCGATAGCCGAGCATGGTCGCAGCGTGATGCAGGTCATTGTTGGCAGCGTGGCTGGATCGACTCAAGATATTCGTAGTAGCACCCTTTCTCACATAGGAGAGTTCGGGTTGCGACATGAACGGCATCGTGAAGCGATGTCTGATCAGGATGGGCTGGGCAACGGGCTTGTATCCGGAGACGCCCCATCAGGTCTCCAAGCAGAAGACCGGTCCAACCCGAGTTATGAGACCAAGCAGCCCCCCCCCCCCCCACACACACACACGCGCGCGCACGCGCGCGCGCACGCGCACGCACACGCACACACACACACACACACGCACACACACACACACACCGCCGCCACATGCGGCGAAACGCGCGGCTATGGCGCATATCGGTCAAGCTCAAACCCCCAGGTTGGCGGCAGCTTGACAGCAAAAAGTCAAGCCGCTGCGAGCAACGTGGGCGACGCTGGCCCGCTTCTCAAGCACATGGAAGATTGTTGCCCAGCAATTCTCATGGTCCAAGAGCACATGGCGGACGATGCTGCACTTCCTGGTTTACAAGATGCGCTCAATGATGCGGGCTACCGCGGTGCACTTGCGCCAGCCATTCGCACTGCGCAAGAAGGCATCTCATCTGGGGCGGCGGTGCTGGCCCCCGCGCGCCTCCCTTGCGCGCGCGCCCTGCACTGCGTGAAGGGCGACCCGTTGCAGCGAGGATGTCATGGGGCGTGGCAGGAGGCGCGGTAGCTCTATCTGTGTAGTTTAAGATATTCAGTTGGGTTGGATGGTTGGGTGGTACGAACCAAGACATAATACGCACTCTGGTTTGTTACTGGGGTTGGGGGAGGTTGGGGTAGGACATCGGCCACTTTTGACAGGCAGGCATGGTTGGATCAGCCGAGGGCGGAGTTCGACGCGCCGTCGAAGGTCGCGCGTCGCACCGCGAACGCTGCGGAAGGCGCGACATGCGGTTATTATGTTGCGCCCGATAAACTGGCGACGGAGCTTA